GTGCTTAAAGTACTGGAGAATCATTAAGATCCTGAGGGGTGAGAACACCTGCCGCCTCTTTAACTGCAGACATTTACAGGTCACTCATGCACAGCACATGGTGGCCTTCCTCAAAAAATAAATAATATAAAATAAAATTCTGAGGAATGCCTTAGCCAGTGTGGTTGGTTGGAGCGTCATCCTGTACACTAAAAGATTTTGGGTTTGATTCCCAGTCAGGGCACATACCCAGGTTGTGGGTTCTATCTCTAGTCCACGCTGTGAGGGAGGCAACCAATGTTTCTCTCACATTGATATTTCTCCCTCTCTCTCTCCTATCCTCTCTCTCTCAAGACAATAAACATATCCTTGGGCGAGGATTTTTTTCTTTTTTTTCTTTACTGACTCTAGAAAGGAAGGGGGAAGGAGAGAGAAAGAGAGAAAAAAAAACTTTGATGACAGCCCTGGCTGGTTTGGCTCAGCAGTTAGAGCGCCAGCCTGCAAACCAGAGTCCCAGGTTCAGTTCCTGCTAGGGGCACATACCTCGGTTGCAATTTGTCCCCGGCCCCAGTTGGGGTCATGTGGGAGGCAGTCAGTCGATGTGTCTCTCTCACACCGATGTTTCTCTCTCTCTCTCTTCTCCCATCTCTCCCTCCTGCTCTATCTGAAGATAAATGCAAAAATGTCCTCGGTTGAGGATTAAAAAAAAGAAACATCGATGAGAGAGAACATCGATTGGCCGCCTCCTGCATGCCCCTGCCCTGGGGATTTGGCCAACAACTTGGGCATGTGCCCTGAGCTGAAATCAAACCAGTGACCTCTTGGTGCATGGGTCGATGCTCAACCACTGAGCCACACCGGCCAGGCAAGTGAGGATTTTTTAAAAATTAAAAATATTTTTCTGTAAGGACTCACTAGGGCACAATTAAGTATTAAACATTTATTTAAAAACTCAAAGACAAATATCATATTCAGTCTTGTAAATAAATAGAAATGGGTCGGATCTCTGATTTCTCATTTACGTTAAGTCAGGCCAACTGGTAGAGACTAAGGTATTCAGTTGAAGCCTCAGCATTCTATGGCAGAGCCCTTACTTCACACTGAATATAATCATTAATCGGTTCCCTCCTGTAGGTGCCCCAACTGGGGATCAAACCTGAAACCTAGGTATGTGCCCTGACCAAGAATTCAATCTGAAACTTTTTGGTGTATGGGACAATGCTCCAACCAACTGATCCCCTGGCCAGGGTTGAGTGTAACTTTTATTTAGAGTTCAGTATATGGGAGGCATTTGCTAGGCAGCTAAAACATGTACTAATTTAATCTTCACCATAAGGTGCTTAACCTTTTAAAAAAATTTTCATTGATTTTTAGGGAACAGAAGGAACAGAAACATTGATCAGCTGCCTCCTGCATGCCCCCTGCTGGGGATGGAACCCACAGCCAAGGCCATGTGTCCTCACCAGGAATCAAACTGGCAATCAAACCAGCAATCTTCCACAACAGCCAGGGCAAGATGCTTAACTCTGAGTTATGAAAATGCCTCCCAGAATTGCTTCTCAATTCCACATTGCTTTGAAAATACATTTCTGGGGTAGGGCAGAAGCACTGGTATTTTTTGTTGTTGTTAATCCTCACTCGAGCATATTTTTTCCATTGATCTTCACAGTGGAAGAGGAAGTAGAGAAAGACATCGATGTAAGACACATCACTTGGTTACCTCCAGCATGTGACTCAATCAGGGCTGGGGATTGAACCTGTAACCCAGGTATGTAACCTTGACTGAGAATTTAACCTGAGATCCCTTGGTCCGCAGGCCGATGCTCTAACAACTGAGCCAAACCAGCCAGGACGAGCCCTGGTATTTCTTAAAAGCTCAGCTGGACATTCTAATGCAAAATCACAACCCAGAGTCACTGTTAGTCATATTTAAAACTAACATCATCTATCCTGATGGGTTTGACTCAGGGGTTAGAGTCAGTCCACAGACCAGAGTCATGGGTTCAATTCTGGTCAAGGGCACGCACCTCAGTTGCAGTTCGGTTGCCGGCCCTAGTTGGGGTCCTGCGGGAGGCAACAAGTCGAGGTGTCCCTCTCCCATCGATGTTGCTCTCTTTCCCCCCAATCTCCCTCCCACTCTATCTTAAGATAAATGGAAAAATATCCTCCAGGATATTTTTTTTAATCCTCAGCCTGCCCAAGAATTTTTAGAAGGGATCAGGTAAGTACACTTCTCTTGACTTATTGCTCTAGGTACTATTAAATAGTGGAATTTTGTGATGTCCTAAAAGTGAAGATAGAATTTAAATTTAAGTCAGAGAACTTTATTATGGAGGGAGTCTTGAATTGGGTTCAAGGGTGAGGATTAAAAAAAAAAGTATCCGCCCAGCCAGAGTGGCTCAGTGGATTGAGCACTGTCCATGGTTCGTTCGATGCCTAGTCAGGGCACATGCCTAATTTGTTTGCATGATCCCCAGTGGGGGGTAGTGCAGTGCAGGAGGCAGCTGATCAATGTTTCTTTCTCCCTTCCTTTCTCTCTAAACATTCAATTAAAACATATTTTTAAAAAATTTTTTTCCTTTATTGATTTTAGAGTGAGGGAGAAACAGAAACATCAATGAGAGAGAACATCAACTGGCCACCTCCTACATGCTCCCCACTGGCGATTTGGCCCACAACCTGGGCATGTGCCCTGACCAGGAATTGAACTAGTGACCTCTTGGTGCATGGGTCAATGCTCAACCACTGGGCCACACCAGCCAAGCAATAAAAACATATTAAAAAAATAATAAGCTGGTGTGGCTCAATGGTTAGGGTTGACCCGTGCACCAAGAGGTCACCAGTTTGATTCCTGGTCAAGGCACATGCCCAGATTGTGGGCCCGATCACCAGTGGAGGGGCATGTAGGAGGCAGCCAATCAATGTTGTTTCATTGATGTGTCTATCTCTCTCTTTCCCCCTCTCCCTTCCTCTAAGAAAGAAAAAAAAATTTTAATAATAAAACAAAAGTAGCATCATCCTAACTCTAAATAACCCTCAGCAGCACAGCTGGCCCTCCAATACACCATACACCCCACACACAAAGACCTTGGAAATCTTTCCAATAGGCCACCTTAATTTCCTGGGATTTCACTGTCCACCTGCTGGTGTCAAAATCCCCAACATAATTCTACACTTTCCCCCCAAGTCTCCCATTTCTCCTCAAAATGTTTATTCATTCCCATCTTCTATTCATTCTCATTAAATTAATGTGAGGGCAGCCAGAGTTTACCTAAATTGTTAGAACAGTTAATCAAAATAGCATCACAAGTCCCATCATTTTAATGTCCCCTGCCAAGCCAAAAAATATGCAAAAATTACTTTTAACAACTCAAACAATTTTACTTATGTTAAATGGGCAAGAGCAACAATCAAGAAAAGTTCATTTAAGAACAAAAATATGGGGTAAACACTGACCCAAATATGAATAAACTACAACATACTACATTTCCCTCTGGCTTCTATGTTTTAAATGTTTTTATTGACTTTTTTTTAGAGCGAGCGAAAGGGAGAAATAGAAACATTGATTGGCTGCCACCTGCACGCCCCCTACTACTGGGGATCAAGCCCACAACCCAGGCATGTACCCTGACCAGGAACTGAACCAGGACCTCTCCATGGGACAATGCTCAATCCACTGAGCCACACAGGCCAGGCTCCCTCCCTCTGGCTCTTTTAATTCTACCAAGTTTTTCTACTATGAAGGAATTCATTTTAAACTTTATCTTCCCCTAACAGGGCAAAAACTTATAGTATTTGTTAATAAATTCCTCCAACTGAAGAACCCAGTTCAAGACCCCTTCCATAATAAAGTTCTCTGACTTAAATTTAAATTCTAACTTTAGTTTTAGGACACCACAAAATTCCACTATTTAATAGTACCTAGAACAGCAAGTCGAAAGAATTGTACTTACCTGATCCCTTCTAAGAATTCTTGGGGGCAGGCTTCCTACAGTCTCACAATATAAATTATAAAAATAGGTAGGTAGCAAAATAAAAGTTGCTGATTCAAGATTAACTCATATACATAATAGAGCCAAAAATCTACAGAATTCCTATTTCTGGGAAAGCTCATTCACCATGGACATGGGGAATGTAAAAAAAAAAAAAAATATATATATATATATATATATTGCAAGTACAGTGAATTAAGTGAATAACAAGGCATTATATATATAGCACATAGGGACTTGATCCAAAAAAACCACATTGATGGATGAGAATTTGGTTTCTTGAGAACCAGTACTGAAGAATTCAATTGTAATTTAATTGGAATTAACAGGTAGCAGGAAAACCTGTATCTCTAGTTAGTTTTCTAACCATCTAGCTGTGTGACAACCCTTTGGATCTGTTTCCTCATCTATAAAAACGAGTTAGAATTAGATAATCTTTTGTATCTATAATTGCCTTAGGTAGCAATTATAGAAAAAAAATACTTCAGAGTAATTCTACACATCATAACCTTTTTTTTTTTTTGCTGGTAAAGTTGCGTATTTGGAATTACCTAAGCTTTTTGAACAAAGAGGAGGCTGAAACATCTGTTGTTAGCCATTTATATAACTTTGTCACTCTGTTTTACACAAGTCTGTCAGAAATAAAAAGTAGCTTTCGATAATAAAGATTAAAAAAGTAAAATAGCCTAGCTGGTGTGGCTCAGGGGATTGAGCGTTGTACCATGGACTGAGAGGTTCTGGTTCAATTCCTGGTCAGGACACATGCTTGGGTTGTGGGCTCGATCCCCACTAGGGGGCATGCAGGAAGCAGCCGACAGATGTTTCTAACTCTCTCTCTAAAAAAATCAATAAAAACATATTTTAAAAATAAATATATAAAGTAAAATTAGAAAAAAAGAATTAAAAGAAAATAAAACAAAAAGCTCTATTTCTTTCTTGAAATGTTAGTTCTAGGAAACCTATTGGTGTCATGCTTTTTCCTAAATTTCAATTTTCTTATTTAATACTCCTCAGAATAAAGAAAACAGCTCATTTTAAACAAGAAGTTTATTTAAACAACAAGACGCTTGACTTGAAGGGAAAACTATCTAGGATTCATTTCTTTTAGAGTAATTTACCCCTACTTAAAGACAGATTGCCCTACATGTAACAGCTACGTACAAAAAAGTTATAAAATTGTCCTTGGTTTTACAATGATAAATGAAAAACATTAAAATTCTCCAATCAAACAAGGTATGCAAGGATTTTTATGTTGTTCTTTTTTTTGTTAAACAGTGAGAGCAAAATAACTTACTGGAATATAAAGATAAGAGCTGAATGAGCATGCCACTAATGGAGAAAGGGGGTATTTTCACAGAACCAGTATTTTCCCCCGTCCCATCTCCATTTGATGTCGATCAAAACATACCATTGGCCATTTAGTTAAAAAAAAAAAAAAAAAAATGCAAATGTTTGTGCACATACATCAGTTACTTTATGTACAATAAAGGAATGGGGAAGGGGAAAATGAAAGAATAGAGAAAACTATACTGTAGTAGTCAGATGTGTTGAAACCAAATTGCAGTTTTCTAATTGAGAATGTCTTCTTGGTCTGGAGGAACAGAGTTCTGGAGTAAAGTAGCAGGTTCCCTTTTTAGTAGACACCTCCTGTCTGCTGCTGGAACACATCAATTGTATCTTCATCCTCCATTTCCAACTAGCATAAAGGAGAAAAAAACAAATTAAAAGCCACTGATTATTCAGCTCTTAAAATTTGTAACTATCAGACCACAATATCCTGAAAAACTGCACAAGTTTCACCTAATCCCAATGTTGACTATTTTAGATATCCCAGAGACTTATTTAGCTCATCAGCCTTAGGTTTAAGTAATTTTTCACTTGTTCTTTTTTAAGGATTATAGAAAACAGGTTTTAAGTTAAAAGCTGAATGTGTCTGAGTTAAACCATCTCTTTCACTACGGTGAAAAGGATCTCATTGCTATATTGTTTAGATGCGCAAAAGACTGGAAATAACCTAAATGTCAATACAAACCCAGAGAAATATGATGCATTCATAATGAAATATCACATAGCTGTTATGCATGTGTAGAAATAGAAATGTCTCTAGGATACTACTATTAGGCTAAAATCAAAATTTAAGCCTGGCCAGTATGGCTCAGTGGATTAAGCATCATCCCATAAATTGAGAGGTTGCAGTTCGATTCCTGGTTGCCAGCTAGATCCCCAATAGGGGGTAGGAGGCAGCCGATCGATGCTTCTCTCTCACATCAATGTTTCTATCTTTCTCCCTCTTCCTTTCTGTCTAAAAAAATCAGTAAAAAAAAAAAAAAATTTAAGTCTGGCCGGTATGGCTCACTGGCTGAGCATCGACCCCATGCACCAAGAGGTCGCTGATTTGATTCCTGGTCAGGGCACATGCCCAGGTTGTGGGCCCGATCCCCAGTGGGGAGCAAGCAGGAGGCGGCCAATCAATGTTCTCTCTCATCGATGTTTCTACCTCTCTCCTAAATCAATAAGAAAAAATAAAAACAAAACAAAAACATTTTTTAAAAATTAAAAAAAGCCTGGCCAGTGTGGCTCAGTGGATAGAGCATCATCCCATGAACTGAGAGATCCTACTTCGATTCCCAGTCAGGGCATATGCCTAGGTTGCAGGCTCAATCCCCAGTAGGGGGCATACAGGAGGCAGCCGATTGATGTTCCTCTCACTTAAAAAAAAAAAAAATCAATAAAAATGTAAAAAAGGTAAATAAGAGTGTGTGTGTGTATCTATAACATAAATATACCCTTACCTATGCACAAAACAGTGGCTACCTCTATGCAGTAAGGGAATGGGCAAGAAGAAACTTGTTTGCTTTGTAAGACCTTATTATGCTGACAATTACCAATGAGAATTTCTTTCTAAAATTGGTAGTTTGGGTCCAGCTGGTGTCACTCAGTGGTTGAGCATCAACCCATGCACCAAAAGGTCACTGATTTGATTCCTGGTCAGGACACATGCCCAGGTGTGGGCCAGATCCCCAGTGGGGAGCATATAGGAGGTGGCCAATTGATGTTCTCTCTCATCAATGTCTTTCTCTCTCCCTCTCACTTCCTCTCTCTCTAAAACCAATAAAGAGCCCTGGCTGGTTTGGCTCAGTGGTTGGAGCGTCGGCCTGCGGTCTGGAGAGACCCGGGTTCGGTTCCCACTAAGGAAGCATACCTCGGTTGCAGTTTGTCCCGGCCCTGTTTGGGTCGTGTGGGTGGCAGCCACTTGATGTGTCCCTTTCGCATCGATGTTTCTCTCTCTCTCTCTCTCTCTCTCTCTCTCTCTCTCTCTCTCTCCCTCCCTCCCTCCCTCCCTCCCTCCCACTCTATCTGAGCAAAATATCAAAAAATGTCCTCAGGTGAGGATAAAAATAAATAAATAAATAAAACCAATAAAGAAAAAGATAAATAAAAATGGGTAATTTTTAAGATAAAACAACCTTGAGCATCTAAAGACAAGGAAATTGTTTCTAATGAAGTTCAAATATACTCTAAGTAGAGCTAAGGCATTAAAATTGGCTGATAAGATTTTCAAATTACAATTCTTCTATTTACTATTGGGAAAACAATTCTAAAACAAATCAATTTCATTCTAAAATGAATTCAATTATAAATTCAATAATGCAGTTCTGAAAAAATTCCTCCTCACAGTTTAATATTTGCACCTAGCATGGCAGACAAGCCTCAGAACTATTTTCTGGTGGAAGGTGAGGGCTTCATAAGACAGAAAATACATTTTAATCATCAGAGTTTAGCATAATGGATTCTTTTAAAACCATCAAAACAGGACTTCAGCCCTGGCCAGTTTGGCTCAGTGGTTGAGCGTCAGCCTGAGAACCAGAGTCCTGGGTTCGGTTTCCAAGAGGGGCAAACAGCACCAAAACAAACAAACAAACAAAAAAACAGGATTTCAGCCTATCTTACTGAAATAAAACTACTGGAATGTTAAATTTTATAGTGAAACTTTAAATGCCTTCAAAGGAGCCCTGGCCAGTTTGGCTCAGCGATTAGAGCGTCGGCCTGAAGTCCTGAGAAACCCGGGTTCGGTTCCCGCTAAGAGCATGTACCTATCGGTTGCAGTTTGTTCCCGGCCCTGGTTGGGTCCTGCAGGTGGCAGCCACTCGATGTGTCCCTTTCACATCGATGTTTCTCCATCTCTCCCTCCCACTCTATCTGAACAAAAAAATGGAAAAATGTCCGCAGGTGAGGATAAAAAAAAAAAAAAAAAAAGAATAAATGCCTCCAAAGGAGAAAAGAACCTTTTCTCTTTCATCAAGAGAATTCAACTCCTCCTTGTGGTAATGGACTGTAATTGCCTCTTAGAGACTCACCAATGAAATTTCTTCAGAATATTCTTCACTCAAGTATAACTCATAAAGTATTTCAAAATTTTGAAGATTATCAACAAAACCACAATCTTGATGTGCTGTTTCACTCGTACCATATTTATCACTTTCTGGTTTTAATGGGATGATAGGAAATTTCAAAAATACATAGGCTCTAATTTAAATTTCTAAACTGCAAGTCTTAATTGGATCTTGAAAAGGTAAAAAGAGCTTCTGCAATAGAAGACAGCCCTGGAGATCTCTTAAAAAATGACACAACAAATGACGTGACAGTTAAAGAGATAAAGGGATCATACAGCTTCACCTTTTGCAGTGAGGGTCTGGAAAGCCACCTATTGTCAAGAGCCCTCCCTCTCAAACTAAGCTACCAGGAGACTTGTAGTGACAGCCATTAATTCTCTTTAGTTCACAAGGATGGATAAAAGAATTCAGCATGTGAGTTAAAATGGTCAGGATCAAAAGCCAACTACTGGTTCACAGAACCTAGGTATGATCAAGAGCTACAGCAACCAAAACAAGGAAAACATTCTGAAGAAATGGACAATAGGAAAAGAATGGATTAAAGTAACTAAATGACCTATTAGTTTTACTGAATGATAACCAGATATTTTAAAACCACTGGCATTTACTCAATCTATTTCTATGTTTTTCTTTCTGTTCCCATTTGATCATTTTTTACAAGCTTTGAATTGTGGTAAAGAACTATAGATCAACAACTAAAAGTTCACAAATAAACAAAGCGGTTGAGAAAATTACAAAAAAAACCCAAACACATTTTTTCTCTAGTTCACACAAAGAGATTCTTACCTGTGCAGGTGTGTCTGTTTCATTGATTGGCTGCCCGTCAAATCGGAATCTGATCTGCCTCATCGACAAACCCTGAACAAGAGTTTAAAAGCAGTAAGAATGCAAAGAAACAATAATAAAACTGTATGCATATTTAGCTACGGATGTATTAAGAGATCTAAATAAATGATCATCAATATGCTACTAACATTCCTATGTGGGTAAAAAGATTTGGGATGACTCATTTTCTTTAAACTATGTTTGATTTTCTTTGGAAAAAATGTTTCTAAAAGGTCCTCTTTAAAAAACCTGTATTGCTCTTGAGACCATGTATTTCAAGCTTGAATAGATCATACCTTGAGTCAAACAAGGCATTAAAATGAGTAAGATACTGAAAGGAAATTTGAAGTAACAAATCCACACATCCAATAGTCCTCAATGCATGTTAAAGAGATCAAGCATTACCTTCCCGACACAGGGGTAAGAAAAAGGGGAAAGGAACAAAGCAGTGAAGCTGTTGGTAACTGCAGCCAAATGAAGACAAGATAGAAAAATAAAGTATCTTTCAAAGTATGCTGTAAGTATATTAACTTGAAAGATAGCTTTCTAGAAAGCATCTTACAGTTACTCCTTTATCACACTCATGTATTATAATTGTTACACAAACTCCATACTTCAATAAATATTTTTTTAAATCCTCACCAGAGGACAAATGGATATATATAGACAGATTTTTTTGAGGGTGAGGAGGGAGAGAGACACATGGATCTACGGCCTCCGGCACACTCTGACCCACCCCAACATGGGATGGAACCTGTGACCTTTCAGTATAAGGGACAACACTCCAGTTTACTGAGCCCCATTAGCCAGGGCTCCATTGATATTTAAGAGAAAAATTAAACTGAGTTCACCTGATTCCCTTAAAAAAGATTTGCTGAAAATGTCTTTAAAACTACCTGTAACATGAAGATCCTATTACTTTCCTTTAAAACGCTAACCTTTGACACATACCACTTTCAGACAGCCCTTGCCTGTTTTGAGGAATGCAAGCAATCCTCCACCAGGTAGGTGACATCCACAACCTTAATTCCTCATCACTTTCCATTTTAATTAGCGATTACACAGACCTAGAATTCGATGCCAAGCATCAATTACCAAGTATATATTTACACTCTATTGAAGACTTCTTGTTTGAACAAAATACTACGCACCTTGTATATGCTGGTTTCTTCCTTTACTACAATCAGTGGGTAAGGCCATAAAGTCAATGGTGCAGCCATTGAAAATAGGTGTGTGTGGGGGGCAGGGCCAGAACATAAGCAGACTGTATTCCTTTATATTTTTAATCTTTCACTCTAGCATGTTTTTGTTTTGTTTTGTTTAACTCTCAACCAAGAATATTATTCTACCAACTTTTAGATAGAGTAGAAGGGATGGAGGGAGAGACACATCAGCTGCTTGCCTCCTGCATGACCCCGCCCAGGACTGAGGATATAACCTACAACTCATTGATCCAAGACATTGCTGAATCAAACCATCCAGGGCCCAAGCATGTTTTTTTTTTATTGATTTGAGAAACATTAATGTGAGAAACATCTGTATGCACCCCAACTGGGGATCAAATCTGCAACCTTTTGGTGTATGGGACGATGCTTTAACAAACTGAGCCACCCAGCCAGGGCTGTATTCCTTTATTAGCACCTGTTTATACACTTTTCCTCACTAATAAAAGATTTTGCTACAGAGTGAAAGTCCACAATTCAGAAAACTTGTAAAGACTCCATAAACCATGTAAATTCAAACCAGGAATTTACATTAAACCAGTATTTCAGCTCTTCTAAATAAATCCCACCCCTGAGCTTTAGAGTTGTGCGAGCTCATTGATCTCTTTGGGTCCACTTTCTCATTTCACAAAAATGAATTCAAATAAACCAATAAACCTATGCTGAAACCAACTGACATTCCAGGAAATGATGTTAGGTAAAGCCACACTAGAATGGAAAAGTATGCTTTCGATATGTTACCTAAAGGCTATGTGGCTGACTTAAAGTAGGCAAACCCTAATTCTGCATGTGAATGAAAAATTTATTTATGAACAATCTCTGGAGATATTAGTTTGAATGTTCTCTATCATTGCACAAGCTTTATTGAACATGCTCAATATGCCAGGTACTGGTCTAGGCTCTAGACTCTAGAGAAACAGTGAACAAAAAGGCCCTATGCTCATGGAGTTTACATTTTAGTCAAGAGACAAATACAGACAGTGCTCAATGAAAAGGGGGTGGGGGGACCGAATGAGAAGATTGCGGGAGAAGGAGCTCTCTGAATTAACCAGAGAAGTCTCCAAGGTACTAACTTAGCAGGAATGGAAAAAAAGGGTTGAGGGCTCAGCAATATCCAATAGAAATATAATGTGAGCCACATATGCATTTTAAATGTTCTAATTGCCACATAAAAAGTAAAACTTTAATATTTTAATTCAGCCTATTCAAAATATAATTTCACCATGTAATCAACATTTCAAAAATTGAGATTTTTTTCTTTTCATATTGAGTTTTCAAAATCTACTGGATGTTACATTTTACAGTACATCTCAATTTGGATTGGCCACATTTCAAGTAGTAAATAGTCACATGTGGTTTGTGGCTACTATGCTGGACAGCACAGGTTTAAGAGAACAGAATTCATTCACGGCTTATATGAGTTAGGAAGCATAACCAAGGATGACTCCAAGGTTTTGACCTCACCACTGGATGTCCAACAGTGCTATTTACAGAGTGGGGACACCAGAGAAAGAGACTTCTAGGAGTAAAATCAAGAGTTCTCTCTTGTATGTTTAGTTTGAGATGCCTGTTAGACATCCACTGAAACTCCAGACATAGAATACCAAGTGAGTTCATTACAAAGTAAATATGAGCTTTCAATTAATCTTGATAGGAAATCCTTGATCAAGAATTCTCAACTGCCGCCCTGGCCGGTTTGGCTCAGCGGTTGGAGCATCAGCCTGCAGACCAGAGAGTCCCGGGTTCGGTTCCCGCTAGGGTCACATAGCAAAAAAAAAAAAAAAAAAAAAAATCTCAATTGCCAAAAAACTTAAACTATGCAAATTAGATTGGGTAAGTATTTTAGTCTTTTGATAGCCTGTACCTACAATTTAAAAGCAAGGATTCAGCACAATTAGGTGATACTTCAATTCCCTCTTCCTTAGAATGCAAGTTCATTTGAAACAGAAACAGGGATATTGTTTCACTCAAAACTCCAAAGTTATTCCCAATTTAAGAAAATGGATACATCTATACAAACCCTTTCTGAACCTTATCTTCAAACTATATTTGCATTCCCCGATACTCAGTGGAATTATTTCTTTATGGATTACCAGTGCTTATTTTTCCTCTAGTGCAAATTAAGAGTGATCCTAAGAAGTGTAGTCAAATATAAGCCCAATAATTGAAAAACAATCAAGGAAAACTACTGCTCCGGGCACATGCCCTAATTATGGGCTCAATCCCCAGTAGAAGGCGTGCTGGAGGCAGCCTTATCAATGTTTCTCTCTCATCAATGTTTCTATTTCTCTCCCTCACCCTTCCTCTTTTTGGAATCAATAACAATACTAACAAAAAAAATTGACTGACCCACTAACTTGATCCTACAGGATAATCTCCCATAAAGATAATCTGGAATATAGATATGCTTTGTGTTGTTTTTTCCTGGCACACAGTATAATGTCCCAGCACATGGTAGGCACCTGGCAATTATCAGATAAATAAAAAGCTCCTTCCAGGGTCCCTACAAAAAATATGGGAAGTCTTAATTTGTTTAAGTGTTAGAAAAATGTGACCGTTTTATCTTCCTTTATTGAAGTGAGAGAGGAATAGGGAGAGAGAGAAACATTGAGAACATTGTTGGCTGTCTCCTGCATGCCCTCCAGTGGGGATCGGGCCCACAACCTGGGCATGCCCTGATCGGGAATTGAACCGGCCACCTCTTGGTGCATGGGTCAATGCTCAACCACTGAGCCACACTGGCCGGCTCAATTTTAGCTTTTAAATGGTCACATACGGCCCAGTGGGTGTGGCTCAGTTGAGTGTGGACCCATGTACCAAGAGGTCGTCAGTTCAGTTCCCGGTCAGGACACATGCCCAGGTCGTGGGCCTGATCCCCAGTGGGGGGCCATGCAGGAGGCTGCCAATCAATGTTCTTTCTAATCAATGTTTCTATCTCTTTCTCCCTCTCCTTTCCTCTCTCTAAAAATTAATAGACAAAAAAAATTTTTTTTGGTACATGCCCTTAGTGGGAACTGAAACCGGGACTCTCCGGTCTGAAGGCCAACGCTCCAAGCGCTGAGCCAAACCAGCCAGGGCAAGACAAAAAAATTTAAATGGTCACATCCGGCTGGTGTGGCTCAGTGGTTAAGCGTCGACCCATATACCAAGAGGTCGCCAGTTTGATTCCTGGTCAGGGCACATGCCCAGGTTGTGGGCCTAGTCCCCAGTAGGGGGCATGCAGGAGGCGGCCGGTCAATGTTCTAAAATTAATAAAGAAAAAGATTCCCCCATAACCTGAAGGGAAACTCATGTTCAAATACGAAGGATGCCATTACAAAAAAAAAAAAATCTTTGGCACAATTAACAAGTACATGTTCACTAACCGTTAGAAGGATTTCACCAAAACTCTTCAAATAGGAGTATAGTGAGCCCTGGCCAGTTTGGTTCAGTGTCGGCCTGTGGTCCAGAGACCCAGGTTCGGTTCCCACTAAGGGCATGTACCTCGGTTGCAGTTTGTCCCCGGCCCTGGTTAGGTCATACGGGTGGTGGCCACTCGAAGTGTCCCTTTCATGTCAATGTTTCTCTCTCTCCCTCTCCCACTCTGAAAAAAGAATGGAAAAATGTCCTCGGGTGAGGATAAAAGAGCATAGTGAAGCCCTGGCCGGGTAACTCAGTTGGTCAGAGTATAGTCCTCATATGCCAAGGAGGCAGGTTCGATCCCCAGTCAGGGCACACACAAGAACCAACCAAGGAATGCATAAATAAGTGGAACAACAAATCGATGTTTCTCTCTCTCTCAAATCAATAAAAAGAAAATTTTTTTTAAAAAAAGAGTGTACTGAAGATACTATCTTTGTAAGGATCTGTAAGTTCACACATAAAGATAAAGAATTACAAGCACAGTATTCTCTTATTATAAGTACATTAGTCATAAGGTTTCAAACTCAAAAAAAGAATTTTTACCTTCAGTTTCTTTCAAATGCCCTTATATCTCATGGAGGAAACGTTAATTTTCAACTCAAACTCAATTTCCCAATCTCTATAGGTTTAAGCCTTATTCTTTTTTGAGCCTATTTTTAGGACAATTTGCAATGTAAGAAGTTTTTTTAGTCTAAAAGAAACTATTTTTCTCAATGTTTATATATTATATATTCAGGGTTGAACAATAAAAATACTTCAGCCCTGGCCAGGTAGCTCAGTTGGTTAGAACGTCACCCTGATACGCCAAAGTTGTGGGTTTGATCCTCAGTCAGGGCACACAAAAGAATCAACCAATTAATGCATCAATAAGTGGAACAAATCTATGCTTCTCTCTCCCTCCCCCTTCCTGTCTCTCTAAAAATCAATAAATACAAATTTAAAAAAGAGCCCCGGACACACCCTGGCCAGTTTGGCTCAGCAGTTAGAGTGTCAGCCCAAGAACCAAAGAGTCTTAGGTTCCATTCCAATCAAGGGCACATACCTCAGTTTGGTGGGGTCGTGTAGGAGGCAGCCAGTTGATGTGTGTGTCTCACATTAATGTTTCTCTCTCTCTCTCTCCTTCCCTCCTTCCCACTCTATATAAAAATCAATGGGCCCTGGCCAGTTTGGTTCAGCGGTTGAGTGTCAGCCTGCAGACCAGAGTCCTGGGTTTGGTTCCCGCTAGGGGCACACACCACCAAAAAAAAAAAAAAAAATCAATGGAAAAATATCCTAGAGTGAGGATGAAGAGATGCCTGGCTGGTGTGGCTCAGTGGCTGAGTCAACCCCGTGCACTCAGAGATCGCTGGTTCAGTTCCCGGTCAGGGCACGTATCCAGGTTGTGGGCCAAATCCCAAGTGGGGGATAAGCAGGGGACAGCCAGTCAATGTTCTCTCTCATTGATGTTTCTCTCTCTCTCTCTAAAATCAATGAAGAAAAAAAAAGAAAAGAAAAGTACTTCTGCCAGGTTATTGTTGTATTTAACTGATCTAGGTACCTGAACTTTTATTATGCTTGGCTCAGGTTAAATTTCTTGACCTCCACTATTAGTGTAAAAAGAAAATACCGAAATTATACATGCTTCAAGAAAACTGCAACGTCCACAAACTCACAATTGTATTTCAAAAGTGGTTAAAACACTCAAAATAGTTTTAACATAAATTTTAAATGGCCTGGCTGGTGTGGTTCAATGGATTGAGCATCGTCCCATGGACTGAGAGGTCCCGGTTTGATTCTGGTCAGGGCACATGCCGGGGTTTCGGGCTCGATGACCAGTAGGGGGCATGCAGGAGGCAGCTGACTGATGTTTTTCTCTCATTGATGTTTCTATCTATCTCTCTAAAAATAAAAATCAATAAAAACCTTTTTTTAAAAAAAAACGAAATTTTAGTCCAGCCGGTGTGTCTCAGTGGTTGAGCCCCAACCCATGCACCAAGAGGTCGCTGGTTTGATTCCAGGTCAGGGCACATGCCCAGGGTCTGGGCCCGATCCCCAGTGGGGGGCATGCAGGAGGCGGCCAATCAATGTTCTTTCATTGACATCTCTATTTCTCTCTCCCTCTCCCTTCTTCTAAAAATAGGAACTTTAAACAGATAAAAAATGAGCCTGACAAGTAATTTTACCATGTTCACTCTTATTTTCTTATGTCACACCTATGCACCCAGAGGTCGCTGGTTTGGTCCACGGTCAGGGCACATACCCAGGTTGTGGACCAAATCTTAGAAACAACCATGTGTTGTGAGTATAATTTGATGCATTTGTGGCATAAGACTAGAATCATACATTAACCAACCCACCCTAAGGGTTTTCATGAAGAATCAACATACTAAGTGTATGATAAAACTGATGTCAAGTAAGTGCAGATTCATTCCACCAAAGTCAATCTATTTATTATGCTAGTCTAGTTTCTATTCTCATGAAAATAAGGTTTGTTTTTTATTTAAATAAGTTTTATTCAGTGAAAGTTCACATGTCAGTTCCTCACCTGTCGTTCACAATAGGCTTTCATTAGTTTACTAAGTGGTGTATGCCTCTTAATCTTAAACTGCACCACAGAACCATCCTGCCCCGCCACCTTCAAATTAATATGATCGTTGTTCTCAGTCTTGACTCCTTCCTGTTGAAAGAAAAATAAAAGTATAATTTGGAAAATGTGAAAAACACCTTTTAAAGCAGCCACAGCCCAAGTTGCTTTAGAAATCAACAGGTTTCTCATTCTGTGTGATAAAAGAGCATATAGCTGTTTTCAGCTGCTTAAATCAATATGAAAAAATGAGAAATTCTAAAGAGACGATATTAAATAGCTGCCACAGACACAGAAAAGAAGCCTCATGCAATACTATCAGTGGCAACAACAGATTTTTAAAGACGGGTCCCACTCAAATTATACAGTGCTCTCCTGAATTGTCTGAAATGGCATATTTTATGCCACTTTCAAAATCCATCTTTTCCCTAAAAAATTTAAAAACAAGCATCCTTTCTCTTATCAAAGTGCTTGCTTTAAGTACAGAATGCAGGGGAACAAAATCTAGAGCTTGCAATACAAAACTCATTACAATTCTCTTGTTAAAGTTACCAAACTCGGTTTTCTAACTTAAATCTCAAGCTACACTAACAAAACCTAATTGAGGAAAATCCGATTGTCTCTGCAGCAGCGGTAGTAACTCAGACCCACTCTTAACGTTCGCCTACATCAGCGGCTTCATTTTGTTTATTTTTAGTTAAGAGCTCCTATTCTCCCCTCCCCTTTGCTGACATGAGTCAAATACAGTTTATTCCAGGTCTTCTTGCAGATTTCAACCCAATCTGAAGTTCACCAAAGTCAAATGTAGAAAGAACGCTGTAGTCCCTAAAGCACCCCGGAAAGGACGGGGAGGGTGTCACAAAACCAACCAAGAAAAGTGCCGTGTGCCCCAGTCCTCACGGGAAAAGCCTCCTGGCGCCTCAAAACCTCGTTGAAAAGTTAAGCCCTACGAAGTCTCTCTGCTGTACGTCTGCCCCCAACTTCTCGAAACCACATGGTCTCCGCAGGGTAGAGGTTATTTGACACCCAAGGAAAAGCCCCTGCCCATCCCCCCCGGGACCTGAGGCCATTAAAGTGGGAAATACTCCCCGGGAATCCCCGGCCCCTCACGACCGCCCGAGGGGCATCCGGCTCCCTAGCCTTCGGCAGCCCATTGATTCGCCCCGAACCCTCACCGGGCCACGGCCGCCTGGGGCAGGGGTCCCCGGACGCCCGCGGTCCCCATCCCTGAGGGGGGAAGTCCCGGACGAAGGGAACTCCCCGCCACCGCGGAGGCGGCAACAGCCGCCGCAGGTCGCACGGGGTCCGCGGAGGGTGGGGACACCGCGCGCCCCAACGCCCCTCCTCATGCGCGCCCGCCCGGCCGGGCCCGAGAAGCCCCGCTCGCAGCCGTTGGCCTGCGGGAGTCCGCGATCCGCCCGCCCAACTCGCGCCCGGCGCGCACTCCGAGGCGGCCGGGGGCGGGGGAGGGCCGCGGAGCCTCCTCCGGCGCGGGAGGGAGGAAGAGGGGAGGGAGGAAAATGGCGCGGAACGCCCGGGCCTGAGCCGCGGCCGGCCCGTGAGGGGCCCGGGAAGGCGCGGGGAGTCCGCGGTGGCGCGGGCCGGTCTCCGGCCCGTGCCGTGACTCCGCCGCGAGGCGAGGCGAGGCGGCCGGCGCCGAACTCACCTTGGGCTTTTCGTCGGCCATGGCGAGCGCCGGAGTCTCCTCAGCTGCCGCTTCACAAAAGAGGTACCAGGTCCGCACCAAACGAGCACACAAGCAGCTCCAGGAGCGGCAGAAGAAGGAGGCGGCAGCGGTGGAGGAGGGAGAGGGCGCGCGCACGTTGTGCGCTCCCTCCCCCCACCCTGCGTGCGCGAGCACGAGCCACCGGGGCTTCCTATTGGCTGCCGCCTCGCGGGAGCGCGCAACGCTTACATAACCACCCCCGCCCCCCCGCCCCGCGCTGCCCCGGCCTGGGCCCGGCGCCTGCCAGGCCGGCGGGAAGAGGCGCGGACACGCGCACCCGGCCCGCCGCGGGGGCGCGCCTGCTCTGGGCGGGGCTGTATTGTCCTTCTGTGGTGGAGCTTAATCAAAATGGCTTCCAGCTGGTCCTCGTTGAGGACGAGGCGGCTTAAGGCCTGGACGTGAGACACACGCCGGGGAAGGCAGACTGGACGAGGAAGGGGGAGCCTATATCACAACCCCAGCACGAGGTTCTGGGGGGAGAGGAAAAAAAATACAAACCTTTGTTCATTGGCCCAAATGCAGTTTTCCCCATGGTTAGGGGAACATCACACTTCCTCTCAGTCAGCTTCTCATCCTTCCAGTTTTAAAACTTCAGCCTCAACCCCCTTCCCACCAAGTCCTGCTCAGTGCGGCGATCACCAACGCGTGCTGGGAATCCCACACTTGGGCTGGCAGGAAAACGTTCATCCTACCAGCTCCTTCCTCGTGGCCTGGCTCCCGGCCTCCGAGGAAACAGGATCCTCAGAGAACTACCCAGTATCGAGTTTCCAGTCCGGTCGATCATTTCCTCTTCCGTCCGGTTAAAAGAGAGAAGTAGGTCCCTCCTGTTTTAAGAACAGATCCTGGCATCTGGGCAGTGGGTTCCCCGCAACCTCGGCAGGCTTGATTATTCCCTTTGTCCCCGTATGTTCTTCCACTCCAACGTCAGCAAGAAAATGACTCAATTCTATTTCCATCAGAAGTTACCACCATCTCTCTACCCATTCCTGGCCAAACATCTTTAAAAACGTCCATGCCAGCTGTCTCACTCCCTCGCCTCCCACTCACTCCTCGGCCCACTGCAAGCTGGCGCTGTCCCCGCGCCCCGCGAACGCGGCTCACAGGTCGCGCAGGCTGGGGATCCGTGTGCCTGCCAGTCATCGCTCTTGCTCCCTCCCTGCGGCTGGACTGTGGCTCTGGTCTGTCCATCATTCCTTTGCATTTTTTTCCTTCCTCAGCCTTCCCCTTACATGTTGCTTGGGTTGTGTTCTAGACCCGTTCTCTTACCATTCTAGTCTCTATCCTGGGATGGTTTCACCCTCTCCTATTACCATCTATTTGTTAATGATGCTCAAATCTGTTATTTCTAGCCTAGATCTTTCTCTAAGCTTCCAACCTATAAATCCAACTGACTTCTGAACATGTCCACTTGGATGTCCCAGAGGCACCTCAAACTCAGCCAAATCTCAACTAAAATTTCTCACTCGACCTTCCCTGACCTGCCACTCTCCATCATTCCTGATTTGGCCAATGGCACAGCATTAAAACAGTGCTCCAAGCCAGAAGGGGGGCATCCTTGACTCCTCCCTGCTTTCACACACTCACCATACAATCCGCCTCCAAGTCTTGTCTATTCTGCCTTCTGATACCTACCAAACATGTCTCCTTTTCTTTAGCCTTTGTCCAGTCTCTGGGTTAGGCAATATTTGCTGGGCTTCCAGCTGGTCCTCCATGGGAAAGCGGAGGCTTAAAGCCAGTAATATAGACTGAGGAAGGCAGAATCATCAGGGGAGCAGGGAAAGCCTAAGTTCAAGTCAGCTCTCCCCAGGGTTACCGCATTCCTCTCCTAACTGGTCTTTTTGTTTTAAGGTAAGTCCCACTTGTACTTGAATATTTAAGTGAATCAGAATCAACTAGGATGTTGATTTAAATACATGGTTTGGGGCCCTGGCCAGTTTGGCTCAGTGGTTAAACATCAGCCTTTGGATTGAAGGGTCATGGGTTGGATTCTGGTTGAGGGCATGAACCTGAGTTGCAGGTTTGAACACCAATCCTGGCCAGGGTCATGCAAGAGGCAACCAATCAATGTGTCTCTCTTACATGGATGTTTCTCTCTCTCTCTCTCCCTCCCTCACTCCCTTCCACTGTCTCTAGAAATCAATGAAAAAATATCTTTGGGTGAGGATTAATAACAACAAAAAATAAATAAATAAAATGCATGTTCTTGGGCACTGTGGTTCTGGGATCCCTCCTGTTTAACAAACTTCCCTGGTGATGCTTAAGCACACTCAAGTCTGAGAACCACAAACCATTCTAAAATAAAAACAAAATAAGTTTCTGCCACTTTCTGGTTCAGTGGCAATCATCTGCCTTATAGGACAAATTCAAAAATTTTTATAAGACCTACAAAGCCCTTTAAGAGCTAATCCAACCCTGGCCAGTTTGGCTCAGTGGCTGGAGCCTCGGCCTGCGGACCAGAGAGTCCCGGGTTCGGATCCCGCTAGGGGCACATACCAAAAAAAAAGAAAAAAATTTTTTTTAAAAAAGAGCTAATCCAGCCCTGGCCAGGTAGATCAGTTAATTAGAGTGTTGTCCCTGATACACCAAGTTTTGGAGGTCAATCCTTGGTCAGAGTACATATAGGAATCAACCAATGAATGCATAAATAAGTGGAACAACAAACTGGTTGGTCTCTCTCTCTCTTTTTCTCTCTCCCTTCCTTCCTTTTTTCCTTCCTTCCTCTCTTTCTCTCTCTCTCAAAAAAAAACAAACAAACTGAAAAGTAATCTAGGTCAAATATTCTAGCTCTTTCTCATCATTTCTTCCTGGAAGTCTCTGCTTCTTTGGTCATAGTCAATTAGATGGATTCTTTTTTTTTTTTTAATCCTTACCCGAGGGCATTTTTCCATTTTTTGTTCAGATAGAGTGGGAGGGAGAGAGAGGGAGAGAGAGAGAGAGAGAAACATCGACGTGAAAGGGACACATTGAGTGGCCACCCGCATGACCAACCAGGGCCAGGGACAAACTACAACCGAGGTACGCGCCCTTAGCGGGCACAGAAACCGGGTCTCTCTGGACCGCAGGCCGATGCTCTAAGCACTGAGCCAAAGAGAAACATTGATGTGAAGGGACACATCGAGTGGCTGCCACCCGCATGACCAACCAGGGCCGGGGACAAACTGCAACCGAGGTGCCCTTAGCGGGAACCGAACCCAGGTCTCTCTGTACCGCAGGCAGACGCTCCAACCGCTGAGCCAAACCCGCCAGGGCTGGATTCTTAAATGTACCCGCTCTCTCTCAACTCTGAGCTTTTGTCCGTTGCAGGTGCTCAAAGGTTCAGTGAATGCATGAATAAACTGAAACTGTCACTATGTGAAGTTCCTGTCTAGGCATTGAGCAGACAAAGTCCCTGACTCAAATAACAGTTTGGTGGGGTTAGGTAGGAAATACACAAGAAGTGAAAGGGGAAGAAAATAAATTGCCATGTGTCAGGCACTGCATGGGGATTTAACTAACATTAGCTCATTTTCTCCTTAAACAAACCCTTGTATGCTAATGTAGTATTTATGTGCTACTGAGTCTCAAAGGAATTAAGTGACTGCATCACACAGCTGGCATGTAGTGTTGATTGAGCTCCTACTGTGTGCCAGGGAATGAACATACTGGGTGCTGTGCCAGGTACTGTAGAGAAAGAAAAAGTCCTGAATCTAGGTCTTCTGTTGCCATCATACACCTTCCCAGTCTTTTTTTTTGTGGTACGTGCCCCTAGCAGGAACCGAACCCGGGACTCTCTGGTCCGCAGGCTGACGCTCAACTGCTGAGCCAAACTGGCCAGGGATCTTCCCAGTCTTGTAGGACTGCAGAACCATTGAAGAGGAATGACCATCATTAATATGTGGGGACTTTCAGTAATCAAATGCTTGTTTTAGTTGTTAACTGTGAGCTTCTGGGTGATGGGTGTGTCCTACAATATCCTCCCTCTGCAAAGTTAGGCTAAATTACCTTCAGGCAATGGAGGAGTTCCTATAAAAAGTAGTAAAACATATTCAAATATGTGAGCAATACATATTCCAATGGCAAACTGGAATTCTGTGAGCTGAGCCTAGGGGATCTAGTAAAATCATATACTGGGAGTCTCCAATTTCCAGGAGAAAAAAAAATGTGTGAAAAGACAGAAATTTTCCAACATTAAGTTTCTCCCTCCATCATTTTTTTTTTTTTGGTACGTGCCCAAAGCGGGAACCGAACCCAGGACTCTCTGGTCCGCAGGCCAATGCTCCAACTGCTGAGCCAAACTGGCCAGGGCTACCTCCATCATTTTTAAAAACTGGCTTTAGAGAGAGAAATATCATTGATTTGTTGTTGTTCCACTCATTTATTTATTTTAAATCCTCACCCAAGGACATGTTTATTGATTTTTAGAGAGAGAGGAAGGGAGAGAAGCATTGATATGAGAGAGTACATCGATTAGTTGCCTTCTGTACATGCCCCGACTGGGGATCAAACCCAAAACCTAGGTATGTGCCCTGACTGGAAATTGAACCTGCAACCTTTGGGTGCATGGGACAAAACTCCAAGTAACTGAGCCACACTGGCCAGGGCTATTGTTTAGCTCATTTATGCATTCACTGGTTGCTTCCTGTGTGTGTCCTGATCAGAGACTGAACCCGCAACCCTGACCTATCTGGACAACATTCCAACCAACTGAGCTACCTTGCCAGGGCTCCCTCCATCATTTTTATAGGGGTGAGAAAGGGGATGGCTGTGCACTGGGAAAGGGTGCTTTGGGAAAAAAGTGCAAGCAGTACTATATACAGAAAAGAGTGGTGGCAGATATTGAGAAGTAGTACATATTAATTAACTATTATGTGGAGATTTTGCATCCAGCCCTTAATCCTCAGAAAAGCATGTGTTATTATTATCCCCATTTTACAGATGAAGAAAGTGAGACACAGAGAGCTTGGACAACTTGCTCACCCAGCTTAAAGTGGCAGAGCCAGTATCACAATGAACTCAGGATTTCTGACTCTGAGCCCAGCACCTAGTTATTGTAGCACTGCATACAGGCCCCTGAGAGAGAAGACAGACAGACAGACAAACAAAATATCTCAGAATAGTGTCAGGAACAC